AGAAGGCATTATATGGATTGAAACAGGCACCTAGGGCTTGGTATGAGAGATTGAGCACTTTCCTACTTGAAAGATCTTTTGAAAAAGGAAGTGTGGATACAACTCTCTTCTTAAAGAAATTTAGAAAGAAAATACTCATTGTTCAAATTTATGTGGATGATATCATCTTTGGATCTATTGTTCAGAGTGATGGTGAAATAGATGGGGATATTATCAGTAGAATTCAAGTTGGATGGTTGAAGTGGAGGAATGCATCGGGCTTGTTATGTGATAGAAATGTACCCCTCAAACTTAAGGGAAAATTCTATAAGATGGTAGTGAGGCCTGCAATGCTTTATGGTGCTGAATGTTGGCCTTTAAAAGAGAAGCAAAATACTAAGTTAAGTGTGGCAGAGATGAGGATGCTCAGGTGGATGAGTGGCTTTACCCTTAGAGATAGGATACGAAATGAGCATATACGTGAAAAGGTTGGAGTAGCTCCAGTAGAAGATAAGATTAGAGAAAGTCGCCTTAGATGGTTTGGTCACATAAAACGGCGGCCTTGCGATGACCCGGTTAGGAGAGTAGAGGTATTAGATTTGACTTTTGTTAAGAAAGGTAGGGGTAGACCTAAAAAGACCTGGTTAGAAAATATTAGGAATGACCTTTCTTTGTTAGATTTAAACGAGAATTTGACTTTTAATAGGACACAATGGAGAAAAAGGATTCATGTAGCCGACCCCACGTAGTGGGATAAAGGCTTGATGTTGTTGTTGTTGTACTGAAGTATAAATTTGTGGCCCTAAAACTTTCATCCTTTGATACTAATCTACTTTTAGAACCTAGAACCTAGAACCAAACTAGAACCTAGAACCCCTAGAACCTGGAAACTAGAACCTCTTAAAAAAAATAAAAAAATTTACTTTTAGAACCTCCAATTTCTATCTTTTGCAGGAATGTGAATCAGATGGTGCTAATCAAATGATCGGACATCTTAGGGATCTTATTTCAAGGACAAAGTATGGGCATAAATATGGTTTGTATCCTCCATTTCCAAGTTCAACCATATGAATTCTTTTGGTTGTTTCTGTTCTAGCATTCACTACTTGTTTCCTCAGGAAATTATGAACTTGATTTTGCTGATGACTTCAGCTATACAGATCCAGTAAGATTATCTGCTAAAGAGTTTTTACAATTGATTTCAGGATGATTATTTGAATTCTCCTACTATAGTGTACGGAAATAATTCCTTGCAGGTAGATGGCAGCGTAGCATCAAAGCAAGGTATACGATTTGTCTTCACAGATGGCTCAAGAATAATATTTCGCTTATCGGTATGCAAGATTCATACTCCTCTCTTCCTAGAAGGAAAAGCATTGACTAACTATAAATTGCCAGCTAGAATCTTTTGTGAATCAACTACAAATTATTAGAATTTATATTCATTACAAGATTACTTTGGATCATATTCATTTTTGTTCTAATTAGAAGAAAGCTAATTATTACTAATGATACTTTGTTCCTTTTCAGGGCACTGGCTCAGCAGGTGCGACGATTCGCCTTTATGTTGAGCAGTTTGAGCCTGATGTCTCCAAGCAGGACATGGATGCACAGGAAGCCTTGAAGTCATTGATAGGTTTGTGAAACTTGTGTTTATTTATTGTTTGAAGCAAAAAGTGGTCACTTTTATTAGTTTGGAAGTCACCAATAACTGGCACAATAAAATTTAATTTTGGGTGAGTAGGCAATGGTTGACCTAGAATGTCACTTTTAAATGATGTGCCATAATTACTCAAATTATTATGGAAAATAAGTAATTATAGATTAATTCTAATATTAATATTAGATTAACAACATGAAGTTGAAAGTGAAAATCGAGTTAAAAAAATCAGTGGATACAATGATTAGAAGACAAATAAGTATTACATGTTTACAAGAAATTAAATAGAAAGGGAAATATTTTGAAAACATTGCTAATTGTTATAATCTATTATATTTTTGGAGTCTTAAAATATGATTGAATTATAATCAGTTGTGGATATTGGGTTGAAAACAAAATATTTGAGGTGAAAAAGTTAGTGATAGAATGATTTCTAATAAGTTTTTTATTTGTATGGAAATTATGGTGGGGTTAGTGACGTTTATTTTTGCATCGAGCCCGATTCAACCCGGATCAAGCCGATTCGAACCCAATTGGGCTTGATCAACTCGATCGAACGTCGTCAAATTAAAATTGACCTGAATCAAGTTTTAATTTAATCAAATCAAACTCAATTTCATTAAATTAAAATCAATTTGATCGAATCGACCCAAATTCGATTTGAATCGAATCCAATCGAGCCTTGTCAAACCAAATTTGACGCAATTCGGTACTGATTCGAGTCCAATTTTACAAAATTGACTTGATCGGACCCAATCAGACCCGAATCGACTCAAATCGGTTCAGGTCGAGTCCAATTCAGATTCAATTTCAGCCCTAATTGATCAATTTGGGCTAAAATTGACTTTTCAAATCAAATTTCTCAATCAGGTGCTAAGATCTCATCTCAAATCATGCCCAATTTCACATCAAATCTCGCAAAAAATCCACTCTAGTGGATTTTCTTCATTTCGCACAACGAGGAGGCAGGATTGGAGCGTTTGGGCGGCGGGCTTGGCTTCGTGCGTCTCATACGAAGAGTGAGAGTGAGGAGAAAAAGGCATTTAGCCCTCTTTTGTTGTGTCCATCAGAACCAGAACCAGAACCAGAGGAGAGAGAGATCGAGAGAGGGAAGCTCCACGTGAAGCCCGATGTCTGCGACCCCTTCTTGTGTGCAAAACTCCTACCTGCGCCAGGGATTCCCGTCCGCGACTCCTGCCTCCATACGGAATCACCGTTCAACCTTGCCAAGCCACTCGCCTCCCTTCTCGTCATGCCCTCCGGGTGCTAATTTCTCAAGGCCACCGATTCCTGGCTATCGTTTTTCTCTTCCTTGGGTCAAGAGAGGAAAATATCTTCCCATCTTCCTTCATTTCTCTAAGTGGAAGAGTATAAACTTGCTCTTTTCTATCTCTCAAGCAAAAGAGGAAAGGTAGTGGAGGCTTTTCAGTCGTTGTAGGAGTTCATTTTTCCTTCCCCATCGTCTCCGACAACTTCAAGGCAACAAGGTCAGCAGTTTGGAGCTCTTGGACAATAGAGGCGACGTCCGAAGCGGCTTGAACAATGATTTGGAGCATTTGGACAGTGGTGACGACGTCCGCAGCGGCTTGGACATCGGATTTCTATAGCTTTCTTGCTTTTTGACAAGGCGATTGGATTGTGGCATGCGCTGTGACAACCCGTCAAAGTAAATTTCTCAAAAACTTAGGAAAAGCCCTAAGGCCCCCTAGCCATTTGTTGTGTGGTTGATGATCCGAAGCCTTAGGTCCATAGAAAACCTTTCTTTTATTTTTCCAACCCAAGAAAATCCTTTACTAGCCGCTGTCCACTTGTTTGGATTGTGGAAATCAAGTGATTTCTTATGATTTGCTCTCATGTGAGAGCTAAAAGGATGGTGACAAGGCGACGGTTCATTGAACTTGTGTTCAATGTCTCTATTTTGCATGCAATGCAGTCATGTTGAGCTCAATATCTTCACCTATGATCAAACCCTAGGTTGTGTTGTTATTCAAAGTTAAATTGAATGCTTAGCTTGCATGTCCTCCCAAAAATTCACCTATGATCAAAACCTAGGTTGTGTTGTTATTCAAAGTTAAATTGAATATTTAGCTTGCATGTCCTCCGAAAAATTCCGTGTCATATATATTCTTACTCAACGCTAGTGTCATGACAAATAGACATATGATTTAGGATTTTGGTAAAGCTTGGGGATTTCGTCATAACTCTACTATATATCAATAATACATTTGATGACTTGTTGTAAGATCTAATGTGAATCCCAAAGGTTCATTTTGTAAATCCTTGAGCAAGTGATGTTGGTCAAGAGTCTATGAGGAAAATAACCATGATTTATTATTCTATTATGCAAATTCTCTAAACATTGGAAACTCATCTCTATGCATTTAATGAATCAAATCATCTCAAAATTAATTTTATTTTTTAAAAGCTTTAGATGCTTGTTTCCTATCATATCATGAATCAAGTCATGTGCCATAGATCTTTTGCTAAGATTAGCAAATCCCTTAATTTGCAAAATTTTCTAAATATGCTCATTTAATCTTAAGTGTTAGTGAAATTAATTTGGAGCGTTTCATGGACCCCAAAGGCCCATGATTGATGCCCCAGCATACTTAGAGATTACTTACGCTTATTTTCTCTAATTTGCAAATTAATGCTACCAAATACAAGCTTCCAAATTTCTAAATCATATCAAAAATTGATTTAGGGAAAACTCTCCAAGGCGTTAGGAAATGGTCTTGAGTCTTCCCTTCTCCTAACAAATCCAAAACATTCATACAAACAATAGGAGAACTGATGAGGACATCGAAGATCAACGGCTACGATCTTGAGTTATTTATTTATATGTACTAATTTATTTCATATTATTATTTTTCCCTTTATACCCTTATGGGTGGTCATGTAATATTGTAGCCCGAAGGGCATTTTAGTCTTTTATTTCTTTTCTTTTCATGAGGCCTATTTATAGGCTAGTTGTTTTGTATTTTGGGATGATGATTATTGATAATAAAAAGTTTTATGTTCTTGTTGATCTCTTAGTGAGTTCATGAGAGGAGAAGCCCGAGGAGGGTAATTCGCAATACCCGTCAATCTTTGGAAGAGTCCGAGGTTCGCGGTTCTTACGATCTCTGTGTGAGTTCGTTAGTTATCTCTATCTTTCTCGTATATTTTTGGTTATCTCCTTTCTCCCCTCTTCATGCACATTCTTCTTCTCCTCCATTGACTACCGCGAGCCAAGTCAAGAGTGGAAGAAGCCGAAACCTCCACTAGCATCTCCACCCTAGCTCCACCCGTCGGCCACCCTAGCTCCACCCGCCGGCCACCTTGCCGCCGGCCTCTCCCCTCGCCGCCATTTTCCCCCACGCCTCCCTCCCCTAGCCTTCATTGGAATTTGAAATTTAAAATTCAAATTCTTTCCAAATTGGGAAGTTCCATTTATGGAAATTTTTGAATGAATTCAAATTATAAATTAAATTAATTTGGATTTATTTAGAATTTTCCTAGTCATCATTCATGTTTGGAAATCCCCCTCCCTCTCCCTCCTCCAATTTTGAATTTCCCTCATTAATGACTTTCCTAATTAAGCCAAATTAAATTAGGGAATTAATTAAGGGGAGTTACAATCTTTTGAAATTCAAATTTCCTCCTAAATTTATTTAAATTAGGGAGTTACATGAGGCAATTAAAATCTGAAATAAAAATTCAGATTTTGATTAATTACTAGTGGTCCCCACCTACTTAAATCTCAAGCCTCTCTCTCCTATCCAATTAATGCCCCAATTAAACCACCAATCAAATCATTAATGCTCCCATAACCCAGCCGGCCCCTTCCCCTTTCACTCCAAATTAGTTTGTGACATATTTGGCATGCTCCTAAGTAAGGAATTTAATTCCAGATTCTTCTCCACAGCTGGGCACAGATTTTCCCATAATATTCCTCTAGTTTCCTTGCATCTAGAGAGCCGAAATCTTGAATTTTCCTTGTCCAAGTTGCTGCCCAGATTTCTGGACAGATCTTGTGTGCCGTCCAGAATTTTCCATTGCCAAAACAGCTGTCCAGATTTCGTATATTTGCTGTCTGGAAATATAGCAGGTCAACCTTGCTGTCCTGCATTCCCAAGTGACCTTTCTTGCTACCCAGAGTTCCGTCAATCAACAAATTGCTGTCCAGAAAACATTGTCTTGATTGTTATATGATCTTAACTCTTACCCGTGTGATTCAACCGTAAGCTCGTTTTTCCGTTCTTAATGTTTTATCTTGTCGTTCAAATTATTATAAATATATAATTATTTGTTCTATCTAAAATTAAGCGTGCAAACTTTCATTATGAAACCCATCATCGCATGTACGTTTCACATCAAGAACTCTCTTTCATGTACTCATCTTTAGGATTTCTTTAGATCGTAGTAAATTGATCTTTAGAGCTTACATATAAACATTCTAGTGGTGATTAGCTTACATGCCTCTAGGTTCTTTATATAACGCCACAAGTTATCTTCCAAACTCAAAGTTGTAGCCTTGTAGGAACAAATCCCTCCTACCCAAATCTCTTTATCATGCCAAAAGTGATTTAGGAATCCTTTCAATGCATTGAGAGCTCTCTAATAGTCTCCCCTTCCTCATGCATGATGGTATGGAGGAGCTTTAAACACTTCATTGCATGAATCATTTTAACTTAGGATCAAAATCCTAGGTTCATGCTATTCTGTCTGTTGATAAGAAATCAATAAACTATATTCCCTCTTCCTCATGTATAATGATTAGAAGCTCCCAAAGTTTTCAAAACAATGTCATTACATGAGTCAAGGGAACTTGGGAACAAATCCTAAGTAACCCATACCTTGTTTGTTGATACAAGATCAACAAACATTTATTCAATACCTTTTCTGCATTGTAATCTGAAGTACCCTCCAAGGTTTTGAGGAGCTATCATTGCATGATAACTTTTAGCTTAGAACCAAATTCTAAGTCTTTCTATATCGTTTGTTGAGACATAAAATCAACAAACAATCACCCATCCTCTCCTTTCATATATGATGACTTATAATTCTCCAAAGTTCTAGCATGCCATCATATGAAGATTTTTGAAATTTTAGTGCCAAATTTTAAGCTCCTTCTATCATTCGTTGAGGCACAAGATCAATGAATGAATATCCTCCCTAGGCCTAGGATTATAATCCTAGCCTATAACATTTACCTAACCTATCACATTTAGTAGTAATAGATCTAGTGAGGGATTGTGACTTTGGGCGATCAAGTAATTAATAAGAGTACATGTTTTAAAAATCTTGGGTCTATTGTTCAGAGTAATAATGAAATAAATGGTGATATTATTAGTAGAATTCAAGTTGGATGGTTGAATTAGAGGAATGCATTGGGCTTGCTGTGTGATAGAGAAGTCCCCCTTAAACTTAAGGAAAATTTCTATAAGATGGTGGTGAGACCCACAATGCTTTTTTGTGGAGAGTTTTGGCCATTAAAAGAGAAGCATAATATTAAATTAAGTGTTACAGAGATGAAGATGCTCAGGTGGATGAGTGCTTATTCTTGGAGACAAGATATGAAACGAGCATATACGTAAAAGGTTGGAGAACCTTCAGTGGAATATAAAATTAGAGAGAGTTGCCTTAGATGGTTCGGTCACATAAAACGACAGCCTTTTGAGACCCTGTTAGGAAAGTAGATTCATTTGATTTGACTTATGTTAAAAAAGGTAGAGGTCGAACTAAAAAGGCTTTGTTAGAAAATATTAGAAATGACCTTTCTTTATTAGATTTAGATGAAAATTGGACTCTTAATAGGACAATGGAGAAAAATAAATGATGTAGTTGACCCCATGTAGTGGGATAAAGGTTTGATGTTGTTGTTGTTAATGATGATGAAATGTTGAATGCATTTTAGAAATTGAAGTGTCTAATAGGGCTTTTTATTTGTTGACAATTGATAATATTCTTTATGATTGGGTGTTGGTACAAACCTCCACAATTAGTTTTCTTGATATACTGAACAAGTTTCTTGGGCACGTAACCATCTACATGTTATTTGGTGACCTTATTCTACATCCTGTGCATAAGCAACCTGTGAGATTGTAGTTGAATGAATGACCACCACCTCAATATCAACTTGGATGTTCGACCTTAAAAAGCAAGGTTATTGTGAGGGAGGTGCAATGATGTGAATCCACGTATTATTTGTTTAGGAGTTAATAGTGAATTAATTAGGATGAGTAATTTGCTTAATGGATTGTAAGCGTATAAATACCCCGGGTTTTTAGTAGGACGAGACATGGAAAACATGATTAAAATCCTCTTATTGTATCTTCTTTCTTTCTTCTTTCTTTTGAGACTGCTGAACATTTGAATATTCAAGTTCTATTGAAGGTAAAATAGGTTCTCATTAGATGATCTTTGTCCCTTTAATAAATGGATTAATTCCAAGTCCAATGATAAACCTAATTATTTTGAGCACCATCTGCTTCGTGTGTGTATGTGGTGATCGGTTCAATTCTAACTTTGGTGATCTCTGTTATTATTTTGAGCCGATTTTTCTATGGGTGTTCAGGAATATGTTATCGGCTTCTCTTAGTTGTCCTTATTAGCATCTTTATATAATTTTCTTTTGGTGCTTCATGTGCTTTTTACGTTGGTTTTGTTCCAGATCAATGCTAAGCGCTTATTATATGTAATTTTGCTCCATTTTCTTTTGTTTTTATTCTTCTTCTATTATATATAGGATTTTTTTTAAAGGAGCATGGTGGTTAATTAAATTAGGAATAGGGGTAAAGTATTAAGTTTTTTTTAAAAAGAAACAAACTATCCAAATCATTTTGTGCATTTTAAAGAATGCACAAAATGATTTGGTGCATTCACCCCAACCAGCCGAATTAAATTCTAAGGTTACTGTAGCAATAAGCCAAACAATTTCACTCATTCAATGGAATGCGTCAAACACTCAAACTGTTTGGCTTATTCTAAATATGCCAAACAGTTTGGTGCATTCAATGGAATGTGCCGCATTCAATGGAATGTGCCGTTCTATTTGTCTAGTTTTTTTTTTTAAAAAATTTAATATTATGCTGCTATTCCTAACTTAAATTAACCACTTTGCTCCTTAAAAAAAATCTGTATATATATAGAAAAAAAAGAAAAGAAATAATGTGTGATAATTTTGTAAAAAATTAAAATTTAGATGTTATGAATGTGATTCCTTATATATATATCAAACGTTGCTTACCCTTATATGCTTAATGATTCCTAGATTTGGCGTTATCCATATCAAAGCTGAGAGAGTTTACAGGCAGGGAGAAACCTACAGTCATCACCTGAAGCACTTTGGTTAGGATTCTGGCTTTTCCTTTTTGCAGACCTGTAAATATTAGTCTTTTTAACTGATAAAGCCACATAGTTACTTGTTATTTTGATTTTTTTTGGGGTGTAATGTTATTTCATAATAAATTAACGTTCCTTTGTTCCTTTGATTTTTCACTTTTTGTTATTTTTCCCATGTGATTATTCATTTAGCATCTTAAAGGGGATTCTTCCCTTCCTTTTACTTCTCTGCTACGCGAAATTATCATTGTCCAGGTGTTTGAGGCTACTAATGACTGAAGGAGAAATTATTCTGTGTGGAGTCCGAACGTAAAGCATCTTCCGGATTACTGCGTAAGCTCTGCGTATATATATTGTGTATTTGTAGATACGCAGCAAATAATTATTATTTGCTGTGTATCTACAAATATGTAGAGCATACATAGAGTATAAGCAGAGCGTACGCAGTGCGTACCATTAATCTGGAAGATCCTCTACGTTCGGACTCCTCACAGAATAATTTCTCAACCTTTATGGGCGTGAAAGCATGATAAATATGCTTACTACCTCTCCATTTGGAGAAATTATGCTGTGGATGGGAAGAACCATTCGGATTGAGTATACACAGTGTGTATAAAAATTTGATATACATTGTGTACACTTATATGTTTGGACGATTCTTTCTATAAGGACTCCGCACAGAATAATTTCTCCTCCATTTGCTGCCATGTTTATCACAATTGGAAATAAAGGAATGGGAGTAAGTTTAGGAGCAACAGCCTAAGTATTTCTACTCTTTGCTATGTGCTCTGTTATAAAACGAGCCATTCAGTTAAAATTACTGAGAATGAAAATTTTTGGGGCTATTTAAGCAGATATTTTGACCACTGGACAATGATGCCAAGTCCATTCATCAGCTTATTGTTTGATTTTCCCTTTCCTATGTTTTTAATTATTTATTTTTTAATATAAAACAAGCTTATTGAAAAAACTTAATATAATTTTGAAATGTTGAGTTTTTTAAAATTAATTATTGTCGCTACTTGCTGCCATCATTGTTGTTTATAGTCATTTATCACTTCAATAAGTAAAAAATACATGTATTTTAAGATATGAATAATATATTTTTATATTAATATAAATAAATATAATAAAATAAAAATAAAAATGACCCCTAATGATTGTTAGATTATGAAATATTATCAAAACCTTATGCCAAAAATATCTGATTAACAATAAATTAAACCTAAAAACATAATAAAATAAATCTCAAATATATAGAGGAAATGACTTGAAATATTTAGAAAGATCAAGATCGAGTAAATTAAGCTCACTTGAAAAGCGTGTTGTCATTTTTGTTTGTCAGTTTATTTAAAAAATTTGTTCATCTTGAGGTAAGTCATATTATGTTAATCTTAATTTTTAAAAATACATAATTTTTATCGAATTTTTCAATTAAAATTTATTTTTCTTACTAAAAAAATGGGAATAACTTTTCACCAGAAATTTTTTTATGTATAATTTTTTATATGTTATCGGAATTGAGATTATAAACATTATGAATATTTTATTAAAAAATGTTGCTAAATATTTTGAAAATTAACAAAATTTTTATCAAACAAAAAATCATATAGACAGTGAACAATAGTGTTATAGTACTATGAATGTCTTAAAATAATATATTACATGATCCTTGATAATTTAGTTATTTTTTGAAAATGAACATTTTTGCTTAGTAGGTTTTTTATTGCCTACCATTATAAAAAATTGTACAATTCTTCTATAATATAATGATATCTATGCATATATATTTAAATTGTATCTCTAGGAAGAGATAAGGGATAGAATTCTTTGAAATTTTATTTGTTTTAGGGAATATTATGATGTTTATAAAATATATTTTGGTGGCTATAAGTCATGCTTTGGTGCCTATATGCATGCTCTTGTGTTATAAGCACAAAAGGGAGCTATGGGGGTCAGAATCCTTTGAGATTCCGTCTGGATCTGAAAAATGTGAAATGAATTACTTTATGATACAAATTCTAATTTATTTATCTATTCAGTATTGTTATTCAAATAATTTGATAACTGATATGCTCTGATTAAATTTCTTAGTACAATGATTTATTAAACTACAATTAATTATTTTTAATATTCAACAAAATATTTAATAAAAGAATTTAAAAATTTAGATCGATTTGTGTGGCTAGCTGAACTGTTGTAGTTCACTGTGGTTTTGTTTTTGATTTTCAAGATTTGGAAAGGGGAAGAATGTTGATTAGCACTTCATGATCAAGTTTGAGTTTATTGGTATTTTTCTTTTGACTTTTAAACAATTATGACTAATTTATTAATTAGTTTTATAGCTTCTATATGTAGTCATGATTTGTAATGTGGATATATTTTGATGAAAGAAAATAAATCTAATAGATAACTTTATTTTTAATATTTGGATGTTTTGGCAGCTCTATAATTTGTAGTTTATTTAAAATGAATATTGTAAGAAAATATAAAATATTTCAAAATTAGATTTTGAGATTTGTCAGTCACACCTCAATATGATATGACCTGTCTTGATCGGGTTGGGTTTGTAAAACCCCTTCAGATTTCATATTTTTGGGTGCAGTTAATCTGTACGAACTGACTTTAGTACGGACGAACTGAAAAAAGTTTTGAAAATCTGTATGGTTAGTACGTACGAACTGCCTGTACTAACTGGTTAGTTTTGTGATCTGTATGAACCTGAGTTCGTCCAGGACGAACTGAACAAAATTTTTGCCCGAGAGCATCATCCAGGGACGAAATTAATTATCGTTTGTACACTCGTGTCCAGAGAGCTTCGTCCCCGGACGAATGGAAAACATCGTCTGGACGATCGAGTTCATTAAATAGATGATTTGAGATATTTTGAGATATTTTTGAAGAGAGAGAAAATAGGAGAGAGAAAGAGAAGGAAAGAGAAGAGGAAAGCTTGGTTTCAAAGGCTGCGGAGCGATTTTCGTCCGACGCCGTTGTTAGAAGAATTGTTTGTCTCACAGTAAGGAATCCGAATCCTATTTTTGATTTCGAAGATTTCGTATTTTCATATTTTTCTGCTCAGTTTTGTGTTTTTGTTACCGAAATTCTAGCATATCTTTGTATTGACGAAACTTTTACCGCATAACTTTTGGTATGTTGTATAAATGATGATTTTGCACGATTTGAGTATTTTCTGGAAAGTTTTCACCGGATATTTTGAATTATGTGAAATTTTTATCAAATAGAAAATTATCTGGATGTTGAAAAATATTGCTTCAGTTCAAGTAAAGCTTTGAAATTATGTTTTATACGATTTCTGGTAATTTGGTAATTTTTTGAAACTGTGTATTTTGATTATGTTTGGGATTTATGTTGACTGTACTATATTTTAAGGATTTTCTTCAATTGAGTTAAATTGTGTTTGTTGATTGCAATATATTAATGAGATGTATAAGAATGTGGATATATGATTGAAATATTGTTATATTACTGAAAGACAAATAAAGACTGGTTGAACCATTGGTTGGAGATTGATTGACCTATACAGGATGGTGAGCCGACGGGCTTTCCTTTAAAAAGGGTTTGGTGTTATCCTCTATTTATCACGTGATATAATGATTGGGAGTCATAAGGAGATTATGCTGATGGTCGAAGAGTGATGACTCTATTATTGAGCCAACGAATACAACGATACATCGATATTCCAAGACTGAAAAACGCCTTAATAGCTAGTGATTGTACTTGTTGAGTAAGACTATTGTGTTAAATTGCATGTTTAAAGTATTGTTCTTATGATTATCTTATGAATTTACTGATATTGAATTGATCTATTGTTATTGATTGATTTATTTATTACAGTACAAATTTACGGATATCAATGGATTTATTGATACTGAATGAATTTACTGACGGATTTACGAGTTTACTAACGGATTTACGAGTTTACTGTCATTGCACGATTTCATTGATATTTCATACCGTTTACGTCACTGGATTGTTATTTATACAGATATAGATACCGATACTACTGATTCATTATACTGATCTTATGGAACGTGATACACCACATACTGGCTGATACATATGATACACCGATCAAGTGATATAGATTAACTAGATTTCATGTGATTTACCGAGCACGTGATATAGAATATGATTTACTGCATTGATTGATTTCAACTGTTCTTACGATGTATTGATTTGATTGTTTTATATGATTTCATACCGATTGATATTATTGACCGGAATTGATTTCTCTTGATACTGACTGATATGATTGATCTGATGATTTCTTTATTGATTTGACGCATCTACTGATTCATTGAGCTTTACGGACTTTTAAACTGTTTACTGATTCTTCTACTGTCGATTGAGGATTTTATTGTTTATGTACTGATTCCTATTTCTGCATTGACTCAATGATCATGTGTAAGTGACTTCAATGATTTGACTGATTGACATGCATATTATTTCCGTATCGTGCTTTGATTTTAGTTGTAGGTTTTTGGTGACCTGCTGGACTTTTTGAAGCTCATTATATGTGATTAATAATTTCAGGTAAGGGCAAGGGAGCGGGAGATTGAGGTTGATAAGGATCTTCAGGTTATTGTTCCTTTTTGTTATAGTTATTCTTTTGTACTCAGGACTGGATGGATTTGTGATCATTGTTGAAGATCCTGAGTATTGTAACTGAACTTTTGGGAATGAATAGAAATGTTTATATGATGTTTTAAATTATAGATTTTGTTAGATTGTTTATCATTGATTGATGATTATAGATAGCTCTGGTAGTTGATGGTTTAATGGATTAAAAAGAATAATTCTTCCAAGTTAGATCTTGGGGACATCAAAGGGTTAGTAATAGTTTTTGGAACTGATTGTAAAATAGAGCCATATAATTTGATATATAAGTTAAGTGGGATAATTTTGAGTCTATATGGGTGTTCATTATTATTTATTTTTTATGTATGTATGTTCAATTGCATATTATATGTGATTATGAATCTAAGAGACTCAAACATAATAGATGGACTGAGTGCTAATCAGGAAGCTCCTGTATACAATATGGCTTCAATGGTCGCTTATGATGCAATTTCATAGTTTATTAGTATGATAGCCCATATGATGGGCGAGGCACAGAGCAGAGTTACTGTTGTGAGGTCTGATGAGGTAGATAAATATTTGCATATATTTTGGATATTGGAGTCTTCGAAGTTTTAGGGCGTCGTTGAGCCTAGGGCTTCAGAAGTCTGGTTAAGGAGATTGGAGAAGATATTTGATGGTATAAAATATCCTCCTGAGAGAAATATATCATTAGCAATCTTTCTATTATATGGGGAGGTAGAGTGCTGATAGATGGGCTAGTAGGAGAAGAAGTTTTAAGGGAGCAGGATAATTATGCAATGAGAGACAGAGTTCATTGCTTTGCCAAGATATACTTCACACCTGGTTAGCACTCTCGCAGAGAAGTGTTATAGTTTCTTGAGAGGACTTCGAGAGAGTTTCAGACAACATTTGGTGCCATTTTATTTTTTTTGATTTCTTTGAGCTAGTGGAGAGAGCTCGTCTAATAAAGAAAGAGGTCTCAACGGTTTTTTTCTGGAGTGAATTACATTACCTAGGCGAAACTCCTATTTTCATTTCATCTTTTTTTGCGCAACCTCAATGTGTTCTTTTCTTAACCATTTAGGTAGACTTTTATGAGAGTTCTTTTTCTAGGAGTTTGTAGATGGATTCCCTGAATCTTCGATGAAGAAGACTCTTTCCAAACAAGGATTAATCTCATTTCATGAGAAATCCCTTTTCTAGCTCCTTCGTATAGGGATAGTTCTGCTCGTTTCACTTCATAAGTTGAGTGATAAAGAAGAAGATTGGCTGCTTCCAGACATTTTAATGAAGCTTTATTATTCCCAAGGCGCTAGCCAGGCTTTTCATCTATGTCTAATTCAATTTCCAGGCTCAAAAGTAACCGCCACACTTTTCCCAATCAGTTGGAAGAATCTCATAGTTAAGGAAGGGAACTGCAAGTCAAGTAAGGACAAATCCGTTCTTGTATTAGAAAGCAGAGAAAGCATCCTGCGCAGATGAAAGAAAGTCTCTTCTTAGGCGAGCTCTCCAATTTGAGCGCAATGATGGCTCGTGTATAACGCTCTTGGTAAGACTTAGTTATATTATATCTTCATGTCAAAGCTCATGAGAAGACGATGAGCCGAATTCTATGAGCGATAACAAAGAAAAAAAGAATCATCATTCTATATAGCATCTAAGAATTAGTCATGCATGTAGTCGGCATTGGAATATTTAGATTAGCTTAGCTCATCCTATCTTCCCAGGGATGTCCTATGGTGAGTAGCAAGACTAGCTTCTCTCTTTATTGGTATATTATCCTCGAGTAGAAAGAGATGACTAATCCTCGCGAGTGCCTAAGCTTCGTCTACTACTTATCAGCGGTGGACTGTTAGTAGAAAGAGGTGCATTGACAAGCCATTCGGTAGTGGATTGTTTGGGGAAAAGAGTAGATTTATGTCTAGAGATTCCAAGAGATGTGAACAGCCAGTATCTATAGCAGTCTCTTTAGTGGTAGTGTAGCATGTTCTGATTTTGTTAGTGGGGTATATGTATGCTAGAGTTATGGAAGATATCATTTTGGTTAGTGTTATAAGATGATTATATAGTGCTTTAAACTCAGTCAGATAGGGCACTAGGTAGAAGAATATCCACTTGCAGGATTTGACCGACATTTTGAGCCGAGATTTGAGAGCCTTGTCTGATCGATAGGGAGATTGAGGGCATTTCCACTTTGTTTTTTTTAGGAACCATCTAGTAGATCGAGTTGATGGTTCTTGTTTTGTGGCAAGGAGGTCATTTGATAGTGGTTAGAGCGAGAGCCTAGTAGTTCTGTTGCTCTAGCTTCTGTTCAACCACGCATTTATAGTTTGACTCAACATGAGGCTTGTGATTCTCCAGGCCATGTCATATTTTATTTGATTATGGAGCTTATCATTTATTTATTTTTGAGTGTTTCTTCGATTTATTGTATGTCTTTAGTTGTATTGCCTATCTCTTTTTTTTGTTATATTATCAATTAGAGGTGGTATAATTGCTAGTAGATTTTATTTTACGATATTGACATTTAAAATAAGAAGTGAAAATATATTTTGATTTTTTACCCATTTTCTCATATGATATTATTTTGAATATGGACTAATTGAGTCGGTATGAGGCTCAGCTTTATTATTTAAAGAAGCAAGTTAATTTATTTTTTCGCGGTGAAAGTTACGTATTTTAGAGAGTTTGACGTATTTGTCTTGGATGATTTCTGCTGTGGAAGCAGATATAGATTTTGGAAGAATGATTGCATGTTTTTTCTTGCATTAGTTTAAGATATGAATATAAATTGTAGTCTTCTTTCTGATGTCTCAACAATATGAGAATTTTTAGATGTATTTTCATGAGTTAGTTAGTTTACCTCCAGAAAGAGACATAGAGTTCTATATTGATGCATTTTTGTGTGTGACCTTGATATTTAAAGCTCCATATAGGATGAAAGTTTTTACTTGGTATTTTGAAAATTCAACTGTTTTTATTAACTAGAAAATAATTTGGGCATTGAAAAATAGTGTTATAGTACAATGAATATTTTAAAATAGTATTTTACACTATCCCTGATAATTTGATTTTTTTTTTTGAAAATATGTATTTTTACATAGTAGGATTTCTATTACCTACCATTACAGAAAACTTTGTAATTTTAACGCATGCTTAATTACACTTTTAAGTGCTATAATTTGAAGATAGATATTTATGTATTATTAAATTATATTTATTGGGAGAGATAAGATGCCAGAAGTTTTTGAGATTCTGTTTGTAACAGAGAATATTTAGATGCTATAATCCATATTCTGGTGCCTATAAGACATGTTATGATGTTATAAGCATAAAAATGAGTCGTAAATGACTAGAATCTTTTGAAATTCTTTTTGGGTTCGAGAAATGTGATATGAACTGTTATATAATATAAATTATAATTTATTTAAATACTCAGTATTATTATATAAATAATTGAATAATTGTTATGCTCTTATTATATTTCTTGGTACTATGATTTATTAGACTGCAATAAATTTTTTAAATATTCAGTAAAATATTTAATTAAAAATTTTAAAATTTAAATTGATTTGTGTTTGCTAGCTATTGTATCTCACTGTAGTTTTGCTTTTGATTTTTAGGATCTGGGAAGGGGAAGAAGACTCTTAATTAGTACTTCAGGATCATATCTGAGTTTATATGTATTTCTCTTTTGATTTTTGTAAAAATCATTACCAACTTATTATTCAGCTCTATAGCTTCTTCATGTAGCCAAATACTGTAGTGTAGATATATTTTAATAAAAATACTTATGGATGAGTTTTTTTTCTTTTAATTATTTGAATTGTTTAGTAGTTATGTTGTCTATAGTTTATTTAAAATAAATATTGGAAGAAAATTTGAAGCATTCTAAAACTAGATTTTTGGGTTTGCTTGTCACAACCTATTCGTGGTATCTAAAGAAGAGTCCTTGGTTGCCAAGAAAGCTATCTAGTTTGCAGGAGTCAATTGGAGATAGCATTCATCATTATTCCAAGCAAAAAAGAAAAAAAAAAAAAAAAAAAACCATAAAGAATGGAGTCATGAGCACAATCAGCATGAAGAGGAACAATTTGTATCAAATTAAATATAACTTCAGGAATGTGTAAAATGTTATGCCATCTACTACTACAAATAAGAGCAGAAAGAGATGTTCCATGATTTAAATTATGAGAGAGAGAGAGAGAGAGAGAGAGTAATTAGAGAGGAGGGCTTTAAGGCCTTTTCTTAAACACAAAGGGTCCCATAAAAGGGAAGTATTAGCACCACCATGAATCTTAAATGAAATTTCTTTTTTAAGCACAGTGGCAATTTTTTTTTTTTTTTTTTTTTATATTCTCTCAACTAATAGTTCCTTTACTTGCAGGGCTCCAAAAATTTTCATACTTATTAGCCCACCAGCAAGCAAGCCGTCAAAATAGAGACAATGCCAAAAAAGAGAGCAGTTGAAGGAAATGTAAGGATGAATTATTCTGTGTTGACGTCAAATGCCGTCCAGAGCCAAATGAAAATGTGCCACATCACCCATACTCAGTACCGCGGCTCGGCACTGCTCAGTATTGAGCTCGGTACTGAGCTCGGTACTGGATGAAGTTGCTGCACTTGATTGGCCTCTGAACGGTAAGCTGTGTACGATGTTCGCACAAAATAATCTCTCAAATGTAATCAGCAGAATAGAGGGTAACCCCAACCCTCCGTACTTCTTAATTTTAATAGTGTTAGACCATGATACAAGATGAAGTTTTTTGAGATGAGTAGGAATTAAAGCATAGTCTAGAATCATTTTCATGTTGGCTTTTGGTAAGATAGCTGCACGAATCCAATATACAATTGAATTAGAGATGGTGAATTGAAGATATTTTATTCTACCATCTAAAGAGAGGTTCTTTGATTTATAGTCATCTAATAATTTAGGCTTCGTTTGGGACGATTTTTTTGTTGATTCTTAAAGTAATTTTTTAGTACAAAAATTTAAATTTTTATACTAGAAAATTGCTTTAAAAAGCAACAAAAAAGTCATCCCAAACGAAGCCTTAGACTTTGTTTGGGACGACTTTTTTACCGCTTCTTAAAGCAATTTTTTTAAATTATGTACTAAAAAGTTATTTTAAAAGTAGCCATCCCAAACGAAGTCTTAGGCTTTATTTGGGACAACTTTCTTAATGCTTATTAAAATATCTTTTTAGAAGAAAAATTAAATTTTTTTAACTAAAAACTGTTTAGAGAAGTAGTAGGAAAGCCATCCCAAATGAAGCCTTAGCCATTTTGTTCCTCAATGAACTAGAAGAACCTCTTGAAAGATATGAGAACAGCTAAATAGGTGAAGGCGCTGTTAATGTTAAGAATATTGAGCATGGCAGCTAAGCTTTGAAGATTAGGAGAAGGTTTAGAGAGCGATTATTAAAATCAATAAAAATGTTATTCAAATATAACATATTGCGAACAAATAAGTTGTTTGTATATAACAACATTATATACCAAAAAAAGCAACCGCAACTCCCCTGATTTCCGATTCAAGAAGAAGGGCCTCCGCATTTTATGTGCGGTCACCGAAGGGTCCGGAGCACCATTACTTCGATCCCAGCCCACCGTTGATCCGGTAATGCCGGATCCCTCCACTATAAATCTGTCTGCAAATTGTTCTCTTCTCACTATTATCTCTTCTCCTTCTCCTCTTTGGATTCCTTAGGGCTCCGATTGCCTGCCATGGTTCCTTTGACACGTTCTTTCTCGAGCGGCGGTTTGTCCCCGAGCTTCCGAGGCTTTCGCGCTCTAATCGTACAATTCTTTGTTCTTTCGTTTCTGGCGCCGCTGTTTGTCCCGGTGGTGTTTGGAACTCTGACCACCTTGACCAATTGTAAGTCGATTATGTACTTACCTTCTTCTTTCTTCGGTATTCAGATTGTTTCGCCCTTAAATTAAGATTTGTTTCAGCTATAGAATAACGAGGTTCTTAGGTCGTTTGGGATGCAATTTCTGCATTTATTTTGGAAGTTTTGATTTTAACTGGATGGCGGAAGGCGCTTCTTGGTTTGGGATACTGTTGAGAGCATGACCTTCTAGAATGGGGAACCGTGCTTTATTTTTCTTGTATGCTTCGTGAGTTATTCATTTGATGGCCATTGGAATTGGAAAGCACCAAAAGTCATATGGAAGAAATATTTACTTTTGTTGAGATGACAATCATATGGGGAATTACTGCATCTTATTCCGAGACATTTAAACTATAATTACATAAAAAAGTAGAGTTTATTACGAATGAGCGGTTACATAAAGGTTACAAAATGATACGATTGAAATAACATGTTATCAAATTATTCTGATACGTCAAGATTTTTTCTTTGCTTCAGTGGTCTCATGCCATGTTGAGGGATCTTAAAATAGTTATTTAAAATATTCTAAACATTTAATTATTGTAATTATAGGTTGATCTATAGTTATTCTAATAGATGCACACCCACACATTCGAAGAACAATAGCATTCACAAAGACATGCATCTATGTATTAGGCTGCAAGCATGACACTTATTAATTTTAATATTAAGATGCGAATCTTGTAAAAAAAATTTCTTGTGGCTCAATTTAGGGTTTAAAAATATAATAAATTTCTTCTTGACAATAATATGCCACATTCTAATATATTGTTATGTTATAATATTATGATTATCAATGTCTAGCAATTAGTCAAAATATCTTATAATTTGCCTTATATTAATTATTGAGTAAAGGATATTATTTGAGCATCATAAACATTGTAATTAATTGAAATTACTTATCATGAATCAAAATAACTAAAAATAAGTTAACTGAATTTCCTGCCAAAACCTTGTGTTCGGAGTAGGATCTTATGGAACAAAAGCCTCATTTGTACTTGTTGTATTTTTTTCTTTTTCAAGATTTATGAGGTTTTCCTTAAACTTTTTCTCTACAACTCTTCTTCCTGGCGCCACCAAACCCTATGTTGGAATTGTAATTTTTAATGTCACAGTTCTCCTAGATTCATTCTACAAGCTTGCTAGCTGATGGAGAAGTGATTGTCTTTCTCTTATTTATCAATTAGTATTTCAATCTTAACTTCCCCTAAGAAAACAAGTAGACAATTCATACAAAATTCCCAATTAACATAATTGCATGGTCTGCCAACACTACAACACTTTGCGGAGCTTTGTTTACAACACATAGAGTCATTGATGAGTTAATTGTACATACGTTTGTATGCGTCAGGTGCCAACATAAAGCTCTTTCCATCACCAAACAACCACGTCTTTTTGAAGTCTCATTTTTTAAAAACTTTTGCATGCCAATAAATTGATAGTTATCCACACAAATGGATCTAGTCTCAATATGTGAAAAAATGCTTATTCATGCAGCCGGCTCCAAGTAACTTCCCTTCAACAATATGTGATCTATGCACACTCTTTTGCACTTTGAATAGAATATCTTTGGGCATCATTGAATAACTTATATTTTCCCATGGTTTAAGCAAAACGAAAATTTTTAAGGATCACAAGACCCTCCGACCTTGCTATTGAATAACTACCACAACACTTGAATATAGGGTATTGGGCATAACCGTCTAACTTGCAAATCTGTTTGCGCAACACCCCTTTTGGACATGCAGGGTGTGTGTGACATGCATGCCCCATCGATTCGTTCATAAACATAGCGACAAATTCATAGTTGGAACTCACTTCACCTTTGAGCATTTTTGCATGCATTTGCTTCTTGTTGGACACATTAATTACTATAAGCGCTTGCTATTTGATGTCACTGTGCATTTGCCTATGAACACTGCAATAGTTCACATTGCACTCGTTCAGCGTACACCAACAAAACTGCATTTCATCAACCAACATCTAGTAACCAACATTTTTTGTCATGTTACCTCAACTAAGGGTGTAAGTCATCACTCAATACTTTAGTTAAAGCCTTGGGTCATCAATGGTGTAACGATACACCTTGACTAAGCAACCACCATAGTTTATTAATATTCATGCTCGCTTTGGGATGTTATGATGAGGACATCGTCAGCATTTTTTGACACGTGTACAATCAGGAGACGCCGGAGATCGACAGCTACGATCATGAGTTTTATTTTGAGTCATTTCATGTAGTAGTTTATGTTATTTTCAGTTTTTCCGCTTTTGCCCTTATGGGTATTTGGTCGCTATTGTAGCCCAAGGGGCATTTTAGTCTTTTATTTTCTTTGTCATTTGGAGGCCTATATATGACCATTTTCTTATGTAATAGTTAGTTTTTGGGATGAAATGAAATTCCACTTATGATCTCTTTGTGAGTTCCTCCGAATCTCTTAGTGGTTTCGCCCCCCCCAGTGGGAGAGCTAGATCTCTTTGTGAGTTTAGATTTTTCGCCAAACATTTTGTCTTCGAGAGTTCTTAAAATTTGGCAAGTTATTTTTCGTGGGATCCGGATTGAAGAAAATTGAGGTGAGTGGCATTTTTAGCAAATCAAATCCTTGAAAATTCCTCCTCCCTTCCTTCACCCCTTGCGCCGCCTCCCTTGAGCCGCCCAGGCCGCCGGCCACAAACCCCAGCCGGCCAACAGCGGCCAGCAGCCCGCCGGCCACCCTTTTGGGCCCCTTGGCCGCCGCTCTAGCTCCCCTCTTTGAATTTTGAATTCCTCTTTAATGACTTTCCTAATTAAGCCATATTAATTTGCAAAATTAATTAGAAGGAGTTACACATGTTTGAAATTCAAATTCAAATTCCTCTTACTTTCATTTGAATTTTGGGAGTTTGCTTATGATAATTAATTAAAGGAGTTACACATGTTTGAAATTCAAATTCAAATTCCCTCTTATTTTCATTTGAATTTGGGAGTTACTTATGATATAATTAATTCTGAAATTAAATGTCAGATTTTATTATGCTTAATTAACTCCTTTGGGTCCCACTCATTTAATTCTCAAGGCTCCTCACCACTATAATGGGCCGGCCCCTCTCTCCTCTCTCTCTCCCCATTAAGTCTCTTTATCCATCTCACCAATCTTCATTAATTGGTATCCTATTATGGAATCCAATTAATTAAGATCCAAACTTACTTCTCTCCTAATCACTTAATAACTCCACAAATTCAGCCCAACTCTTCTCCCCATTTCACCCCTCTCCCTCCTTGGATTTAATTTGAATTCAATTAAATCCCTCTACCTAACCACTAAAATCTGAATTTTATTTCAGATTTCCTGCATTTGCCTCTTAGCCCCACCATAGCGATCTCATCTTCTCCTCTTGCTTCAACAAGTGGTCGGGCTCAAAGGCTCAAGAAGAGAGGTTCTCACATCCATGGACGGCCGATCCGACTTCGACCACGGCTTCATCTTTGAAGATAAAGGAAGAATAGTAAGACGTTTGGATGCTCACTAGTCATCCCATGGACTACCCGCCACCGGCTACCATCCAACCGGACTTACCACTTGTGCCCATTTGTCTCCTAGTGATCGCTCGGTTGCTCTCAATACTTCCTCCATTAAAAGTGCACAACAAGAGAGTGAGTGAGAGACCACAGAGTGAAAAGTTCTATTTTGTTAATTATGGATTATTGTTTCTCCCATAAATTACTCTCTATTTTATGTTGTCAATTTGATTTGTCCGTTAATTAGATGTAACCGCATGCCTTACTTAATTTCAACTTTGATAATTCTGAAAACATAATTTGGGTCAAGCATTATTTTAAACTACAAAGCTTTAACAGTCTTATATTAAATCTAAACAGTTCTTGTTTCATGCATTACGTTTCATATGTTGTTTTAGCATTTTGCTTGATTCAGAAATGCTTTTTGTTATCTGCCTTTAGACTCGTTAGATGAGAATTATAATAGGAAACTTTTTTTTTCCCGTGATTTATTATATCAGAAGATGTTCATGCTTGTGTTTTTAGTGGGGCTTGCATTCTGTTATTTTAAGTTTTGCAAACTCTACTTCTTGTCACTCTACTCTAGCTTGTTGTATTCTTTGGATTGAATGTAATTTATCATTGCAGATCAAGAGACTTTTGCAAATGTTTCTAACAAAGTGGTACCTTCTCTTCTCTTGCCTTCTTTTTTCGATTTTCACTTGTATTGGCAATATGGTAGTTTATTATTCACACTGTCATTGCTATGATTGCTGACCATCGGATTATAATATGTATGTAATGTAAAAATTGTGTTGAAAGTTTAAATAGGACTGGGAGCTTATGAAAATTATTTGTCTCGTACCTTCTCTTCTCTCTGCACTTTTCTTATGGAACCTGTTTTACAATTTGTTTGGTTTAGTGAGATCCTCTTACTTTCATAACTGCAAAAAGATTAATGGTTCCATTAAGCATCAAAGGGAGGAAACACGAGTTTGCCCTAATACAAAGGGGATGAATTTGTTTTACCCATAGTTGGCATTAGAAGATATAAGACAAAGTATAGAGAGATGAAGAGAGTGGAGACACTGATGTGGTTGGAGGATAGCTTCATATTTCTTCTCACCACACGTATTCTCAGATTATTTTTCTCCTTCCTAATCCAGACATGCAACCCACCTTGAGAAGCTAATAGACAATTAAATTCTTCTATAGTTCTATGTTTCTGTTGTGAAAATCAAAAGCACCCTCCTTATGTTCCATATGCTAAAGCTCCGCACTTTTCTCAATTTACTAAAATTGAGCACATTTGATTTGAAGCAAATCCTCTGCCCAATCTTCTTCTTCTTGTGCTGAAACATTGGACCTCTTCTTTCTCCCTCTTTTGTTGTTATTTTTGTCATGGACTTTACCATGTCCTTTTAACACTGCCGTTGCCAGGTCCCAAGTTTGGATGAGAAAAGTGGAGGGTTGCGTTAGGTATTCGACAGCTAGGGTAAAACTTGT